ATTTTTAATCACATTTCAACTCATTCTTGGGTCTGACTATTCCATCTCACGCATACCCAGAACTATGAGTACAAATTCTAGAGTTATACTGCGTTTGGTTACATAATATGAAACTCGGACTGATGGTTTTCATGCCGTCTTACGGAAAAAAGTTGCGTCCCTGATGTGTAGAGTGCGGAGCAGTAACAACACCATTCTGGAGACCGTGACAGGAGATCCGCATGCACCATTGTGGAGGCATTCCGTGCGTATGATGACTGAAATAGGAGTTAATTATTCTTCTTGGTGTCGTTTGCGCGGAGTGCCTCTAAGGCTGAGCGCAGATTAGAGTCACGACAGTCTCAAGACAGACTATTGCTTAACAAAAATTATGAAGATGCGCACATTCGAAACGAGACGTCTCATAGACAAAAAAGTCTTATGTACACAAGAACTGCAAAGCGACAAGTCTGACTAACGACTGTCCGCTTCCCTTTGTAATGTATGCGAGGGCGCACACCAACGACAAAATTGTCTAGCGATTAGGGATGATAATCGATACTGAAAGAAAGTATAATACATACGATAAAATAAGTAATATGTGGGGCCATAAATTTTGACAAATTATCAAAGATAGATTGATACATTCATTCGAAATTACTGGTAAAACTTTCTGGGCTGGTGCCTTAATTTCTATAAAATAAATAATCGGTGAAATCTATTCTGATACTGATGAAAATGGTGTGTGTCGCATCGTAGACAAAACAGTTTCGTCTTGGTGTGCGCCTTGTGGTAGACACAACTGTTTCTTTTTAATTGTAAAGCTGTCTCGTCTATGTAAGACAAGATTGTCTAACAACTGTTGTGACTCTAATCTGCGCTCAGCCTAAGGTACATGACCTATTGAAAAGGCATAAATATTTTGAATATGTAAATACTTATTATAGGCTACTAACACTTAGTTGTAAGTTATATTGTATACTAACATGTGGATCTATGTTGTCTGCCAATAAATGATATTATTATTATTATAATATTATTATAATATGTGATCAGGGAAGGCAAGAGCTAATTCAACTTTTTATGGTGTCGCAAATGTCTGTTAACTACGGCTTTCCACCAGGACGAATAAAAGAAGTTTTATTAAAGTAGCTACATGTACTAATTTTATGAGTTACCTCATATTGAAGTCATTTTTCAATTTGACGACTCTGTATATAATACAGGAGAAAAAAACAGCCCTTGCTGAGTTTCTTGCCGGTTCTTCTCAGTACAAGGTCTCCCGCCGTAGATTTACGAACCGATGGCGTAGCTTCTAGACATTCATATGTGCTTGTACAGCCTAAACATCCATGACTGGAGTACAAATACTCGTATTCATCACACAAACATCTGCTCCCACCGGGATTCGAACCCGGGACTCGGACCCGGGCGAATGAACTGACCAATTATGCTACCGCGGCCCGGACGGCCGCGTCAAAATTCATCTAGCCATTCTTAAGCTGCAAGTGGGTTACCTACAATGCGAATAGTTGCGCTGCCTTGCAGCTTAAGAATGGCTAGATGAATTTCGACGCGGCCGTCCGGGCCGCGGTAGCATAATTGGTCAGTTCATTCGCCCGGATAGCGAAGGGTGCGGGTTCGAGTCCCGTCTGCTGCCTGGACCGCGTGGATTTTTTTCTAGTTAAATCAATACATATTAATAAATGGATAAACGTTAAATCTCACTCAATCCGTGTAAAAATGATTTGTGTTAAATAATTTCAACTCAATATATTGATACCCACCCCAAACATTTACATTTATTATATACGTAGGAATCACTTATTCAAACTTATATCATTATCATCCTCCATCAATGTCCCCACTGCTGGGGCACAGGCCTTCACTATGGATGGAATAGGAGCTTGGGCCATGACTCACCACGCGGGCCCAGTGCAGATTGGCGGCTGCTAACGACTGCAGATGCAGCCGGGACCAACGGCTTAACGTGCCTTCCGAAGCACGGAGGAACTCGAGATAGAAGATTTTCGGTCACCCATCCAATGACCGACCACTGCGGAAGTTGCTCAGCTTCAACGATCGCAACCACCTGCACCGTCGAGCTCCTCAAAAACTTATATCAGACTTCTAAATATCAAATATGAACGGTTCTCAACTCATCTCAATGTAAGGCTTAAAAAATAACTCATAATACGAAAAAAGTTAGGGCAACACTGAAATAGCATATTTTGTAAGTGGTGCTTACATAATTCCCTTATTCAAAAACATAAATAGAATTTAGTCGTTTTGCAAACAGGTAATAATGTGAAAACACTCTTGCTACACTTTTGCGAAACCAAAAGCGTTGCTTCACTTGGCAAAGTCTCCGTAAGAAAAATTACAACATGACGAACTTTATTTCATGAAATGCTGAAATGAATAAAGGGTATATTTTGCACGGATTTCATTCAAACAAACTTTCAGCCCATTTCATGTTTCATTTTCCTCGTTTTCATTTTCACGAAGAAAGGTTACATAAAGTTACTCCAAAGTATGACGCATCATCCTGGGCAAAATTGGTGTAAAATCTTTATGTATTGTTTTTGATCGAGAAGCTTGATGGCGCCAATTCGGCCGCGATCGTTGAAGTTAAGCAACTTTCGCATTGGATGAGTGACCAAAAATTTACTATCTCGAGATCCTCCGTGTTCAATTCAATTCAAATTCTTTATTGCATAGTCACATGGTTAAAAGAAGACAATTTAGTAATATATTATAATAGTACATGTGACACCCTGCAATGGTGTTTGCAATTTATTTATACATAAACATAATTAATAATAATATTTTCATCCCACCACCTCGGAAAGTGTAATTTTGCGCTTCGAAATCTGGCTGGAAAATTCTATTTTATTCGCTTGAGCGGCAAAGTAGATTTGAATTTAGAACATCACATATAATGAGTACTCAATATAATTGTAAATTCAAAACGTCATTAAACCTATTTAATGTAACCTCTATGGTGCCAAATTTATGATTAGAACTTTTTAAATTGTGAAAAAATTTAAATTTGGAACCTTCTTGGTTTCTTTGTTTTATTTGCGTGCTTCGCGCCATTCTAGTTTTTCACGTTTTATTGCTTAAATATTTTGTCATTATAAATTGTTTTCTTTTTCATTTTGTCATTTCCTCGCTGAGGTGGGATGAAAAGTTACGTATTGCACTCGAGTGGAAAGATTTTTCACCTTGTGCTCGTTTGTTTCCCTCGCTGACGCTCAGGATTCTAATTTAGAATCACTCGCTGCGCTCGTGATTCAACTTTAGAATCCTTCGCTTGCTCGGTCATCCAAATCGAGCACGCGGTTAAAAAGGAACTTTCCACTCTTGTATAATAAATAACTATTAATACAATTATATCCGTTGAACAAGAACAATATGTTTAAATTTATTTTAAGCATTTAACTGCTAGATTTATAATTGTAAAGTAATTATTATTATTATTTTTACTAGAAAAAAAACAAAAATATAATGATTCCAAATATATGATAACATTTAGATATTATTAGAGTGTACAACTATTATATTAACTAGAGTTTTATTCAAGTATTAATTATATTACTATTAATTTGTTACATTATTATTAATATTTATTATATTATAAATAATTGTCATTAAAATATCCTGAAATATTATAGTAACTTTTATTTATTAGAAAAATTTTAAGCTGTTTTTCAAATATTTGTTTTTTGTCAAATATGTGTTTCGTAAGGCACGAAGGAACTATGTCCCGCTTTCGAGGTAAGAATCCCGCTTTTTTCACTTAAAAAATCCTAAATCCCGACTTGGCAAAAAAAAATCTGGTAACGCTGCTTCTGTCCAAGACGCCACTATGGGTTTAAAGGTAGCACTCAGGATCTCACTGTTTTGTATTTGAATGATGGGATCCCGAGAGTTGACAAAATATCTCCCGGACCGTTAGTAAAGATGAGTGTTCTATTGGGCTCAATTGTTGATCCTTTCTTGTTTTAAATCTATTTAAATGACTTACATTATAGCAAGGGAGGTGGCAATTTAAGTATATGATTCATCATAGTTTATACCAAGATGTAACCTACAAAAATTAAGTGGCGAGCTTAGGTAGCTTAGATCTTTATTATTAGTAATTTCGAAATTCAAAAAAAATATGTGTTAGCTACTCTTTCAAATATTTTACATTGTTATAACTTACGGTATTTGCCATCAAGTTTCGTTCACAGTGATAAGTGTAGTTGGAACATCTCGTACAAACGTTTTCCATATAATTCATAAAGTATATTACTATAAATTAGATCACAAATTAACTATCGTAAACAGTGTTTATACTTCTACCGCCATAAACATTTATATTTCGCGACGTCAAATTCAAGTGGCAGTGTCACTACTCAAATTGACAACCTACCATAGACCCATAGTGTTACCACACTGAAAATAGTTTACCGATTTTGGAGTAAATTACTTCAACATGAGTTCGAGTGGTGGATGTAACAATTTAATTTCGGCCTCTGACAAAATATCGTGCACTAAATGTCCTGGAGTATTTCACTACAACTGTGTAAATATTACGTAGGAAAATTACAAAAAAACTATCTAAAGAAGCTAAAAGCGCTTGGAAGTGTCCCGTATGTAAAAGTAAGCAACCCAAGGTTGGTGATAACTCGGATACTCCGATTCGGAGTAGTAATAAAATTGATATTGAGGGGAGTCACCCTTTAGAAGTGGTCGACAAAATGCAAGCTAGTTCGCCTGTCATGCAACTTGATCCAGCGGTACTGATTATAATTAAGCAGGAAATCCAATCAGCTGGTCACAGTGAGCGCAGTAGTCAGTGCAGTACAAAAATCTGAAACTGATCTCCAAGAAATAAAAAATGAACTCAGTATATTGAAGGAAATTAAAATAACCATACATTACTTGAGTCAAGAATATTACACAGTTAAATCTGATATCAAAAGCCACGACGAACGACGAGCCCGGAAAATAAATCCGAAAATATTCCGGCCATGCTTAAACAACTGGGTAATGCAATATCTCATCCTTTAGAAGACTCCGATATTCTGCCATACAGCAGGGTTAGAAAGTTTGATGCTAAAACTAAAATACCACGCTCTGTAATAGTTAAACTAGCTAGTGCACGTATTAGGGATGGTGTTTTGGCGGCAGTTGTAAAATTCAGTAAAGCCCATCCAAAGGAAAAGCTGAACTCTGATCATCTGAGGTACGGTGGAGATGCATCAGTGGTTTATGTGACTAAACATCTCAGCCCACATATGAAGGGACTTCACGCTGAAACGAGAAAATTAGCTCGAGAAAAGGGCTTCAAGTATGTGTGGATCCGAAATCGTCATATATTCTTCCGTAAAGATGATGAATCACCAGCCTCCCAAATCAAATCCTTACAAGATTTACATCGATTCTAAAGGAAATTTGCAATAACTTGGACCGTATATCTACCATTAAAATTGCTTCATGAACATTACCAAAATGTTCATGGCATGCGAACAAAATTACCTGATATAAGATTAGCTTCGCTTAATAACTCATATGATGTCGTAGTCGCTACAGATACATGTCTGGATGTAAATATTAACGACAATGTACTTAATGATGAGTATATAGTTTATAGAAGAGATAGACAGTCAACTTCATCGAGGCACAAGCGAGGAGGTGGAGTTTTAATAGCGGCTTCAAAACATTTAGAAACGGAACGTTTAAGATATTATGAGAGTGACAATGAGGATCTTTGGATATCTGTAAAAACTTTAGTAAATAAGGCAGTGATGAACCTTTTGATTTGTGCTGTTTACGTCCCCCTACCTGTTACATACAATGTTTTATTCTCTTTTATTGAAAACAGCAACAGGGTCATTGACGCTAATAGCACTAAAGTTCTAATAATTGGAGATTGTAACTTAAGCTTTTTGAATTGGACTAGGTATGCGAGGATGTATATATGTCGCCATCAAATTATGAGAGTGCATTAGGATGTCAATGTCAAATTTTGTATTTAAACTTGAACAGCAGCGGCACAAAGTACGGAACGAGAACTAAAAATCAGTACACATTTTGACAATGACATTTCGGCCTCGCAAACGAATTCGATATTTGTTGGTGCTAAGGGTACAGTTCTCTCGTCCGTACTGTTTTGAAATATGCCTCTTGCGTATGGAATCTACAGTACAAAATTCATATGGAAAGAATAGAATGAATACAGAGCCAGTTCACAAAATTTTTGCCATTCAAAAGGCCTAACTGTCCCTATCGCGCAAATTATAAAAATCATCTGAAACATTTAAAAATTGACATTCTGGAAAAACGAAGAAAATGTGCCGACATCTTGTTGCATCATAAGTTGGTTAATGGAAATATTAATGTACCTGATATGCTTGCTGAAATTAATTTCACAGTTCCAAGAAGAAATCCACGTTATCCAATCTTGCCATTTACAAAACCGTTTTTCCGAACCAAGATAGTAGCACCCGTAAGTCGATTGATGGAGACGTGTAACAATAAATCCGATGATATTGATATCTGTCACCTATCTTTCTCAGCATTGAAAAAGAAAGTATTTTGGATTGAGTAACAAATACCTCTACGAGTAACAATTAACTTACCTCATTTAGATATTTGCAGAATAACTTTAGAGACTAATATTGTGCCAAAAAAATGTATGGAAATTGCTGTATGCACCTTAAATATAATTCACATTTCACACCTGTAATACCCATTTGTTTTTCTTTCTATGTAATAATTGTGATATTGTTATTGGTGTGTAATAAAAATAAAAAAAATGTAAATAAAAACAATGTAATAAATTATATTATCATTTCTGCCATCAATTAGGTATAAAATACATTTTATAGAAAGTGTAGTTAAAGTTGGCAGAAATCAGGATGGTGGGAGTTTTTATAAATATAATTATTAAACTGTAAAAAATAGTTAGTACTTAATCTTGCATCGTCTTATCAAAAAAAAATTTATGCTCGTGGCAGATATCTACAAATCTGATTTTGCTTGCAACGTCTAACATGTTTTGGAGCATCATTTTTTTGTTTTTTTTTTGAGTGTGTATGCTGTGGGTCGCAGATGACCTTTACAGCGTCACTGGGTTTGAAGACGGCGCGATCCTAAGGGGATTTCAAGCCGAGAATTGGCAGTGTCTCTAAAGGTATTTCAGGCGGATGGCTTCTACCCACGGGGGCAGTCTCCTCTCCGTCTGGAGCCTCTAGACCACTCGAACCTGAAGGGGCGGCTCAACTAGAGGGCGTCTCTGAGACTCGGACCTCGGCTCTAGTTAGTTAGACCTCCGTTGACGTGGGGGAAAGCATCTATATTTCTCTCTTTCCAGTTTTAAATCACCAATTTTTTCTAGCTTTATTTTCCATGCGAACAAATTCTAATCTATCTATCATCTAATGTTTAGTCACACTTAATATAAATAACACTATTTCTATTTACACTGTATGACACAGCAATCAAAATGTAGGCAAACAATTAATGTATATTTAATCAATATGTAATGAAAGGTGACTTCATGAATCATCTCTGAAGTCATTTTTCAATTTGACGACTCTGTAAATAATAAAACAGGGAGAAAAAAAACAGCCCTTGCTGAGTTTCTTGCCGGTTCTCCTCAGTACAAGGTCTCCCGCCGTAGATTTACGAACAGATAGCGTAGCTTCTAGACATTCATGAGTGCTTGTAACAGCCTAAACTGAATAAATGATTTTGATTATGATTATAATTAATATAAATTTTGGGTTTAAAGTGGTCAAATACGAACGTTCCGACAAGCTGTTTCTATAATTATGCAAAGATATCACGATTTTGTATTGACACCGTTACAATATAATATTTTGTAAATATTGTTACATAATTATCTAAAGCTGTTAAGTTTTTCGCCCGATTTATGCAGGGTTAAAAACGGGAAAAAAATACAGACGATTGTAAACAGTTGTATTATGTAAAACTAGCTTTTACGGGTTAATGCACGAAACTTTATTTATTTATTGACGTTTCGTAGCCTTTACAGGCTTCGTCGTCAGAATAAAAAAATATATTTTTTTTTTATTCTGACGACGAAGCCTGTAAAGGCTACGTTTATTATTTAACTAGTTTTATTTAATGAGTGATGTGCGTGAAAACCTAAGAAACAAGTTGTATTATGCTTCTATTTAAAGAAATACTTTTTAACATTGACTTATTTTATTAAATGACAAACCAAATAGATACTCATAAGACTTCTTTGGCACAATTCAATGAATACACAGTGGCGGCGGCAGAGGCAGCCCGCCCTGGATCTCCGATCTTGGGGGGCCCCCAAATGCCTCCATGTTCCCCTGATCAAATCCTAAACAAGACTTTAAAAATGTGTTTAATACCAAAATAATTTCATCAAGATCAAAATACTATAGCCATCTAGACTTTTTACGCGGTACCAATCACATATTCTTGTAACCGTCCTATTCGCTGAGGGAATTCCCGTTTTTGTAGCGAGTCCCTCAGGAATCCCTGAATGAATGAAGTTCAAATAATTCACTCTTGTACGCCTACAAGAAGCTGCTGGTGGGTCAAAGAGAGTATCATCTTATTTCTCAAAGGAATACAAAATGGATTTATTCAATGTGTGGGTGATCATGTAAGGAAATAATTATTGCAGTTAATTCGGAATCATTTTTGACAGCACTCCCGACGAAAGTAAAATTGATCAAATGAGTCAAATCATTAAATTCGTTCATATAGACAATGACATTGTGGAATTACGAGAATCTTTCTTGGGTTTATTTTTAATGTCTGGAAAAGACATTCAGCAACAGCTGGAAAAAGACAGACTGGATATTGCGTTGTGCAGGGCTCAAGGTTATCATAATGCCGCGTCAATGTCAGGTGTCCATGGTGGGGTGCAACTTAAAATCCAACAAGTAAATCCAAAAGTACTGTTCAGTCCTTGTTCTAATCATTTCTTGAATCTTTGTGGAGTTCATTCATTTTCATGCGTTCCTTTCAGAGTCACAGTGTTTTGGAACAGTAAAAAAATATATTCGTTCTTTTTTTCATCTACACAAAGATTGCTGAAAGAGAAAACTGGAAAAAATTTAAAACATTTATCGGATACTCGCTGGAGCGTACATTACGAGTCAGTAAAAGTTGTTAAATAAAAGAGAGACAGTTATGAGTAGTTTGGAACATTTTCAAGATCCAACAAAAGCAATTCTAGATGCAAGATCAGGAGCAAGTCTGCTCCTGTCGGCTGTTTGTAATTTAACCTTTCTAACATATATACAATTCTGGCTTTCTATATTGGAAGAAGTAAATTTAGTTCAACTAAGTATATTTTCAGGCTCCAAAAATTACTCTGGATACAGGAATCACCAAACTAAACGCCTTGAATGCTGTAACTTTTGGCATAAAAAATGCAATGACATGATGAGAAAGGTAAAAAAAACGATGCCGGGTGAATCAGCTCATGACCTTTATCCTTTCCATATTTTAGGTTTGTATGTTTATTTTACCTAAATAATTTTATTTGAATTATAATTTCACTTGCCAGATTTTAACGAAATATACATAAGAAACTACATTTTTTTTTCAAGCTCGGGGCCCCATTTAACTTTGCCGCCCCGGGCCCCTGACGGGCTTAGTCCGCCACTGTAAATACATTCATTGTATTCGACCGGGCATTGTAATTCTCCAGTTACATTTACAAAGTTAAGAGAAACAATTTGTTACTAGGCCTTCTAAACAACCTAATTAATATTAAGCTTGGTAAGACAAACCAAAAGTTTTCTCAACGTAAACTATTTGTATTTCCTTTGTAAACAGAACTGGACCATCTAAATTGGCTTTGTTCTTATAACTTATATTTTGTTGATACTTACATAACTTAACTACTCTATAGAATGAAAATATAAATATATCTTTGTAAGAATAATTTTGAGGAGCTAAACCGTTTTAAAATTAGTTGCGTAGGTTTAGAAGCAGTTAATGGATATAAAACCTAATTGCAGACAGATTCTTTACCCGCACAAGTGTTCCCTCCTTCCTATAACCTGGGGTCCTTTAAGAGAGGCGTGAAGAAGCATTTTTGCAGGCCGGCAAGGTGAGGATGATTGGTGTAGCAGTTTATAACTGCTGTACAAGCTATCTTCGCGTTTGGACTTTATTACCACTTAAAATCAGGTGGGGAAGAGTCATTTGCCTACCTGTATATAAAAAAAAATCAAAAAAAGATGCGGTCAGCTATGTAGGTATATACATATGCATGTAGACATTAATTTCATTTAGATACCAAATAAGCTAGGATATTATATCTGAAAATTAAGTCGATTTTTCATATTGGAATACTTGGGGTGTGATCTACAATCGATACCGAAGCCAAAAATATAGTTTTTAGATTTTTTGTCTGTTTGTCTGTATGTATGTCCGGGATAAACTCAAAAAGTACTGCATGGATTTACTTAAAATTTGGCACGAATATTATTAAGAAGTCGGGTTTACATATAGGCTACATATTATCATCTGCGGGGACGAGCAGTGAACCTTTATTTCTTCAACGTATTCTGTAACAATGTGTTATGTAACTATATTTGAATGTTGTTATTATGTTAACCATGCTATAAACTAGCTTCACACCATAAGTAACTTAGGCCGATAAACATAGTCTTAGCGAAGGCACTCTACCAGAGGAGAGAGGTGGACAGATGGTGCTTCCAGAGTCTCTCGGTAGAGTTGTATCCAGCTTAGAACTCATTCGCTCTGTGTACGGGGACATCAGTCGTATACCGCACCAGCAGAATTCTTGGGTGTGTAAACGGGCCATTTTGACGCCCAAAAATGATCAGGCTGCAGCAATTAACGAATGCATTCTCTCGGAAATTGAGGGGAAGAAAGTGGTCTATACCTCTATAAACACTGTTGTCGAGCAAGATGACGCCACACATTATCCCGTGGAATTTCTGAACTGTCAGCAAGTGGACTTCCAGCGCATGCCATCAAGCTGAAGGTCGGTGTCCCGATCATGCTTCTTCGGAACCTATCTCCTTCGAAGTTGTGTAAAGGGACCCGCCTTAAAGTCATATCGCTCCACAGACACACCATTGAGGTGGAAATTCTTACGGGTTGTGGCGTCGGCGAGGCAGTATTTATACCACGCATTCCCCTCATACCTCATAACTTCCCGTTCGAGTTCAAGTGCGTACAGTTCCCCGTGAGTGTTTGCTTCGCGATGATCATCAATAAGTCGCAGGGGCAGACACTGAGGGCAGAGGGAGTCGACCTCAGGGCGAGCTGCTTCTCACACGGTCAGCTGTACGTCGCTAGCTCCCGCGTCACCAGTCCTCTCTTTACATTTTGGCTGTGGAGAGCCAAACCACTAATGTTGTTTATCTAAAAGTCCTATAAGTATGAATTTTTACCCTATTCTGTATTTCTTATTCATTATTTTCTCCATCTGCTTCGGTCACAACTTAATTCAGCAGAATCACCATAAAGTCATTTATTCGAAGCAGGCTGAAAATCAGCACTTTTGGAAGGTAAATTTTACATAAGACAGTCTCCCTCTGTTACTGCACTTTCTGTAGATATGGAATGTACATAAGAAACGGGTATATGAATGTTATTTTAAACGATATAATCTTAGGTATTTTTGGTGCTGTATATAAAATAACCTAGATACACCAACACGAACAAAATCGTGCCGGACACCTGTCCAAAAGATATATTGGACGATCCACGGAGCTCCGTAAGATGATCGCGTTGTCAAAAACAATATAAGGCATTATTTAAACATGGAAAGTCACCTTTAATGTCTACTGTATAAGGTCTTAATTAAAACGCATGCGTCAAAAAGTTGTGACAGTTCGAAATGCAAGTTCGTAAAATTTAAGGCTTATTGCAGAATGCGGAGCAATATAGACCTTATTTCTTTGATTCTACGCGCAATTTTGAATGTGCTGTTACCAATACAGCAGGTACGGATCGCGAGGAAAAGAGATGGCCGACCATGCATTTGAATATCACAAATATTTCTATTAAATCAGTTTATAGTAAGTATTAGAACAAATTTTGCTTCAAATGCTTTAAATTAACTAACATTGATTAGTTACCTGTCGAAAAAACGACACTTCACATACTTTAAATATTTTTTCGCATTTTTCACGGAGCTCCGCGGCAACTTTACTTTTCAACGGTCCGCGCGTAACTGTGAACCAAGAAGTGCTTGAGTGGCGTTCAAGCACTTCTTGATTGGGACACATTTTGAGCGCACGTGGTGTATCTAGGATATTTTATATCGTTGGCTGTATAGCGTTCACGAAGACGACGCCGCAGCGAAATATCACTCACTGGTTAATCACGAAATCTCAGAAACTGTAACATCTACGAATTTTAAATTTGGCAGGTAGATTCCTTATAGGGTGTATAAGGGGGTTGGAAGCTTGTATGAAAGTCCTATGTTTTTGAGGTAAGAGACTTGAAATTTAACATGTATGCTCTATAGATGGTGTAGAGGTGTACTAATAATGTATCTTTGGAAATAAACCCCCTTTTGGGGTCAAATAGTATGTGTAAATAACTAACTCCACGCGTATGAAGTCGCAGGCAGCCGCTAGTCGATAAATAATTGAATTAATCTTCATTGCATCCAGCATTCACGGCTACCTAAGACTCGTGTTTAAATTACGAATGAATTAATTTGTTAACTTTACAAAACAAAGGGATAGTTGAATATAATTAGAAAAAACGGGTATTTGTCATAGAGCAATACAGCGGACTCATAGTTGAAAACGTAAAAGAAATATTGAAATTGAGCTCTATATAATATTTATTTATTATTTACAATTATTGTTTTAAACTTTCATGATCACTAACATTGTAGTAATTTATGTTATTTACGGGGTTTTTTTTTGAACACACATCAATTAGCCTAGCCCCAAAGTACGCACTGTAAGGCTTGTGTTATGGGATACTAGGGTAACGGATAGAATACATATACTGTACATATATAAGCATATTTATATAGAAATACATATTAAACATCCATGACTAGAGTACAAATGCTCGTATTCATCACACAAACATCTGCCCCCACCGGGATTCGAACCCGGGACCTCTCGAGTCGGCGACACCATGAAACCCGGCGTACAAACCACTCGGCCATGGAGGTCGTCATCGAGGATTGTTGCCATATGTCTTGTTTTTAGCAATTTTCTGATATTTCGGCACTGTTGCAAGCGCCGTGATCACGGAGTAACTGAAGTAATTGCGGGTAGGCTGTTATTGGCAGACATATCGGTCTACCCTCCGACGACGTCTTTTATTGCGTTCGATACCCGTACCACTGTTCACATTCTCACTATTCACTAGTGTTGCCGAACTATCGATATTAAAATTATCGACAGTTTACATCGAAAATCATGTACCCTATCGATAGGCCTATCGATAGAATCAATACAACCGATAGTATCGAAACTATCGATAGCTCAGAACAAGCCAATACTATGGAATGAGTGCAATACTATAGATACTATCAATACTGATGTAGTTCGTTAATAACAAACTATTGATAGTATCGATACTATCGATGCTGTTGATTTTATCTGCAACAATACTATCGATAGTATCGATACTAGAGATTGTTTTAGACTAAAGTTTGTGATTATCTAATGCTATTGCAAATTGTTAAACTATCGATAGTATTTTTGCAAATAAAATCGTCAGTATCGATACTGTCGATAGTTTGTTATTAACGAACTACAATGTTATCGATAGTATTTAACTCATCCGATAGTATTGGCTTTTTCTGTGTTTCGATAGTATCGATACTATCGATAAGCCAATCGATTGTCATACGATTGGTTGGCTATCAATAGATTATCGATTAATCATCGATAGTCGACTATCGATCGGCAACACTACTATTCACTCGAAATTGTTCTCGCCACACAACACTCACAGTATCGACTTTTTTGATTATTCCGGTTTTGACACATACGACAGTGCTGAAATATCGGAAACTCGCTAAAAACAAGGTGCATGGTAACAATTCCGTAAATTACTATAATTTATAATTATGTTTTATTACTGGGATACTGGGTTTTATTATTGAGGAGCTCGATAGCGCAAGTGGTTAGCGCGTTCGGCTGCGATTGTTAAAGCTAAGCAACTTTCGCAGTGGTCGGTCATTAGATGGGTGACCAAAAATTTACTATCTCGAGTTCCTCCGTGCTACGGAAGGCACGTTAAGTTGGTCCCGGCTGCATCTACAGTCGTTAGCACCCGCCAGTCCTCACTGGGCCCGCGTGGTGTGTTATGGCCCAATCTCCCTATTCCATCCATGGGGAAGGCCTTTGCCCCAGCAGTGGGGACATTAATAGGCTGACGATGATGATGATGATGACTGGGATACTTTACGGGTTCCTGGGTTATCATTTATTATTAATTAGGAAGAAGTACCAACCTAAAATGATATTTTAGACAAGATTAAAACGTACAAATAAGAGTATAGCTAATAGAGACACAGAAACTAGCGTAATGAAAAAATAATTACCATTACATAATCTCTTATCTATTAGACAATTCCGTCCGTCTGTGGTGCTGTTTCAGCGGCCAAACCGTAAGAGATAGATAAAGAGAATATTTAAGTTATAAGTTAAAAATAGTCTGATAAGACTACAAACCGGATTTGAGTAACGTAGCACTTCCGGTTTTCGAGAAATCACGAATTTCAAACGAAACCACACAAAATCTCCGAAGTTCTCAATTTTTTTTTTGACGTGACAACGTCTTAAATTAGGTTGCGGCTGGGAGTCACTTATGAAAAAGTGTAACGCTCGGTAACGTTACGATGAGTCTCTAGTGTTAAGTTTAAGTTTACATGTACAATGTTTTAGTAAACAAAATATATTTCTATAGTTAAAATTTGTGCAATTCTTATTTTCATTCAATTCCTTGTTCCTATTGTGCAATTTAATTATATTCATATCAATAAATATTCTACCGAGAAAAAGACGTTGTCACGTAAAATCTTCGCCCGTAAAACCGACTTTACAGGCAACCATTTTTTTAATCAGGTTTTGGTGAACATTTGGTTCACTGGTTTGCTAGTATTAGATATTCCATAAGTCAAACATTAAATAATCTGGCTTTCTTTGAGATATTCTATTATTATGGCTACAGAGCTACAGTATTGTATTATGGTACAGATTAGCTGCATTTCTGGACGTTAAACAACTTTCGCAATGGTCGGTCAATGGATGGGTGACCAAAACTTCACGTCAAGCCGTTGGTCCTGGCTGTATCTGCAATCTTTAGCACCTACCATTCCACACTGGACCCCGTGGTAGGTCAGGGCCCAATCTCTCTATTTCATTCATAGGGAAGGCCAGTGCCCCAGCAGTGGGGACATTAATAGAATGATAATGACGATTATGTTAAACTAGCAAACCAGTGAACCAAATATTCACCAAAACCTGATAGAAAAAAAAAATGTATTTAATTAATTGAGAACTTCGGAGATTTTGTGGTTTCGTTTGAAATTTGTGATTTCTCGAAAACCGGAAGTGCTACGTTACTCAAATCCGGTTTGTAGTCTTATCAGACTATTCTTAACTTATAACTTAAATATTCTCTTTATCTATCTCTTACGGTTTGGCCGCTGAAACAGCACCACAGACAGACGGACGGACGGGTTTGTCTAATAGATAAGAGATATTTTCTATTGGAAAGTGTAATTTCCTTTTAAAACTATCGTTTCACAGAATGAATAAAGCTAAATTCCTATTTTTATAACCGTGTCCCGAATGTCGAGTCGGTGACACGGTGTTTACGTGCCTCCGTTGTGTTAACCTTCTTCTGGCAAGCGGCCAGCACATTACGACGCTCTGCGTAAAATTTCCGGAAAAGTTTGCAGCGGCTTGGCTTCGGGTGACTGTGATTTACATTCACAGAGCTCGTTTTATTTGATTAGAAACGTTAAATCAAAGGATGTCGGTGTCGTCTCGGGCACGCATCCTGAATTTTGCGTTCGCCGCCCGGTAAAGCACACGCCCTAGCTGAAAGCTCAGCAGGGCGGACGACTTCCTCGACGCGAGCGCCTCTATCGGCCGAAGCGAAGTACTACGCGCCGCGCAGTGATTGGGCGCGCGGCGTGACGTCACGCTGCATCGGACCAATGGGGGGGAGCGCGTTCGTGGCCGGCCGCAGTCCTCGTCGCCGCGCCTTCGCAAGAGCCGTGTGTCGGTGTCGCCTCCCCCCGCGCCCCGCGACGACCCGTCTCGCCCGCATTCTAGTCGTGGGTGTCGCTCCGTGCAGTCCTCGCGTGTGCCGCCGAACTCAGTGCGCCGTTTGTGAGTGCTTTAGTTCCCGCTCGAGTGTCAGTGTGACGGAGAACCCGGTGACCTGCCGCGGAGGATGTTAACAGCGCACGGTGAGTTATTACCGAGTCGTCGGTCGCTTATCTCGAGGCGGCGCCACGTGAACGTGCTCTATTTATAAAATGTAAACATGCCGCTAATTCGATTTGAGACGATATTGCTTGTTAAAAGCTGGAGTTCGCGTCCGGTGTACGATGAAGTCGCTATCGCAAATTAACAATGAAGACGCAGGATGGCGCGCGACAGTCGAGATTGACGAGTTCCTGTAAGATTACGGACGTGTGTCGTGTCGTAGTGGCGGAGCAGAGGGATCGCTCAGAGCTGTTATTGCTGAATTTTGTTAACGCTCCGATACGAAGTTCTGGTAGCCTTGGCTCGACTCGGGGCAGGCGATGGCGATAACGCGACCTTGAGCCGTAGTCTCGCGAAGCCGGCCGGCGCTGGAAGTTCGAGTCCGCGGAAAATATCCAGACGAAAGCAGACGCTGATAAGTGGTCGCAAATTAAATATGAATGCCGTTTAAATTGCAGAAGTTTACACAAAGAATAGTAGAATAGTAGATTTATATTCAAAAGAGAAGCGCCATTGAAAAAAAATCTTGTTGGACTCCCACATGAGATGTGACATCGATTCAAACAAGTGACTTCAAAAAGAAGATCAACCTAGCAGTTTTGGATGCGTTTCAATTAAGAGTGGGACTGTTTAAATGACTAATGAAACCATACAATGAGTAATTCAAATGAACACAAACAGCAACGCTCCTGGCAAACCGAACACTATAAAGCATGCACATTGAGGAAATCGTTTCACTTATTAACGGGGATAATGTTCTCTGCTTCGAATGAATAGAGGCGATCTGCATTATCGACTGTGGTCGGTGCACATATATTTTTTATGGTGGCCATTTCAAGTCAGTCCGGTTCAGACACCTAGATACGGTCAGGTTCGAGGCATTGGTCTCACGCCCCGTTCCAGATACTCGCTTCTTTCATTCGCAATCGGATCGGTCAGTGGGTCTGACATCAATATACTTACATTTAATTGCAAACTAGTTCGAGGAATGAAGTCATTGCGACCATAAGCATTATTAAGTTAAATTAATCTTTGACGATAACTTTTCTGCATTGGTACTGTAAGCAGTTTTACCTCGAGGTCAGAAAAGCAGAAACCGAAGAGCGAAAAAGGAACACGAAAAATATCAAAGATTTGGGATTCTTATTCGCACTTACGCACAGTTGAATGTTGGTAACACAGTTGCCATATGTATTTCGCTACAGCTCTCTCTCTCTCGGGCGTAATGTTTATCTTGTGTGCGAAAGAGACGAAGGTAATTCGCAGCGACTACGCTGGAGCGAACCGGCCATGCGAGATGCTCAGTCGTATCATAAATATTAATCAGGCGCTGGTGTCAACAGCCACCGCGTAACGTGACACCGCCGCGATCCGCTGCTAGCCTGGTACCTACTCGAAGAAACAGCCAGACATATTTGCCGATTTGAATGAATAGTAGCGAACAGAGGTCATTTAAATCTGATTCGTAATAATTGTATGCACAAAAACAAATAAGTCTACCGTTAAAGCCAATGATTATAATCCTTTCACTACATTTGATTACTATTTCGCTACATATGCTTGAACTCGTATATGAATGAAAGGTACCTGAGAACGTTAATTTGAAGGATTTAATAAAATCAAAATAAACTTTATTCAAATTGAATTGAAAATTTACAAACAATAATTGTGTTTTTATTGATTAAAAAAAATAAGTTTGACACGGCGGACTAGTGATATTATTTATATTGATGTATTGAATTGTCCATCATGTAAACAATTACAACACTAGCATTTGCATCAATATTATTGACTATAATCTTATCTGTTGCATATCCGTTTATGGTTACGCATTCAGCCATGACCTGCCCTACAACTCAAACAACTCATCATCTTTAAATGGAATGAAAAACATTTAAACAAACATTACTTCTACACTTCATATGCGTGTCAGTATCTAACAATTTCACTTACATTTCTATTATATTAATTAACAATCATCTAAATAATACCGCAGTTTGTAAAATGTTATTCTTACTTCATTTTTTCATTCGGCATATAAACAATTATACTAAAAAACGTGATTGAAATGAATCGGCGTTATTCCTGTTATCTTTCTCGTAAATGATTTGCTACTAATGGCACACCGAAATTGACCTTCATGTTAAATGAATTTTGTAACAGGTTCCGAGTACGTCACAAAATACTAGACACAGACTACGTTTAGCTGCTAGGTTATCTATATAACTTCGGCAGCTGTTCTGATTAAGAACTAGAAGAAATATAACATTTAGTAGCATTAATTTCCATAAAGATATTTCGACATGATCATCATCATCACGGGGCTTCGCCGACTGTATTTATGTAACGACTTTACATTAAAAGATAACTAGAGTTGTTGAACGTCTGGAGAATGATATAAGTACAAATGTACTTAAAATGTGATTAAAAACAAGTTACCACTGCGACGGAGAGTAATAATAAAAGTATAATTGTGCAGTTTCAGGAGAAACAAGAGTATTACCGGAGTGAATGTTTGCATAAGAAAATTGCAGAACTACCAAGAGGCGTCATAAGCCTGATCGGAGGAAACACTATTGAGGCTTCAAATGACATTGCTCTCCAATCGGCACAAGTTGCTCGCCTTATAAGATAGACTTATGGTACACGTACGCAACAAATTAGATAAAGGTGGTAAAGCATGTTGACCCACATTCAGATAAACATATAACAATATATAAATTATGTGCAATTTATTTAGCACTGTAAAACTTACCAAGGCTGTAAGCAACAAATTCTTTAAAAAATAATCATAAATAATGTTACTTAAAGTGAGACTTTTTCAAAAAAATCAAAAATCGACTGTTGTTGTTTAAAAATTGTATAATAAGATGAATTGAGATTAGTGACAAACAAAATCAGAATTGTCTTGTGTCGTCTCAGTGACTTCATCATCCTTATCTGACAAGAAGAAAAATACAGCGAATTTGAAATCTGCAGATATACGAGTAACCTTTGCATAGAATTGAACCAAACAAGAGGACAAGCTACTAAAATCTAAAATTCTCGTAAAACCGTCAATTTTAGAACTAAGGCTAAAACTAATAAGTCGTACTGATCCTCCTGAGTTTCAAAAACGTAAAAGAAACTTAGACAGACAAAACAAAAAAAATGGGTGCGTGTACTTATGTAGGCGTGTGAGAAGTTATCCTTCTTTGGCATCGTTTAAAATTAGTTTTTAATTGCATGCAAATAATTAATTACAATAAATTAATAAAAAGTCTGGAAAAGGACACAGTCAATAAAGTTCAGTATTAATTTGAAAAAATAAATAAATAATCAAAATATTCAATTAGAATCGCTACTGAATATAATTTATTAGAACATATGTGATTTGCACTTGTATGAAACTCAAACACGTATTCCGAATATACAAACTAGAAACATGTGGATAAATATTATAAATATGAATACCTATAACTGTTACTTTATTGCGAAAAATAAAGATGTGGTTTTTGGTTCTACTACAAGAATGGTCAAGAGATGGCGCTGTAGTCTCCTGAATCGCGCTTTGGTTCCGTTGTTCCAGATTAATAAATACTTTTGATAGGCCTTCACAATGCAGTCGTTAGCACCCACTAAATAGAGTTCTATTTCTATTTTGTTGGTAGATTTTCTTAATGTGCGGTAAACACAAAAGTAACAGCATGAAGCGACCAACTTCATGCTGTTAATTTTTGTGTTACAGTGATGCGCGCGCATCTTAAAATTTCACTCTCATCATTTTTTCATAACGCGCCTAAAGAAGTATAACTTCAAAAATCGTGATGTTTATGAAATTAACGAAAACGCGAGAGTGGCGCAAGCGCCGATCGAGATGAGCTGAACGCGTTTTTGTCGATGCGTGTGAGGCATCTGCCGGGTTTTTGCCTCTCCGAAGCGTGCACATGTGTGTATACGTGGATGTTTTTTGCCAGTGTGTGCCGGGTCGGCCGGGCGAGCACTCTAGATATGCGTGCCGGCGGCAGCGGCTTACATGTTCATTTTATTCACTTTATTGTCAACAGCTACTGCTAAGCAAACATTCGTTTATTAGATATGATGTGATGCTGCTTTATCAACCACATTTCCATTAACATTATAAAAGATATAGATACTTATTCTTTTATTAACTTGTTGCACATTTTCTAGTCTTGTTAAAGTATTCTCAAAATGTAATTTGCGAAAAATATGCATGTACCTACATGAATGTACGACTGTATGACTCTAGAAAATAAAAGAATACAATTTCAAATACTGATAATTCTGTAAGTTATGTTATAAAATTATTATTTGTTGTACAGATCAATGAACACACAATAAAAGTGATAATCTAACCGCAGTGTTAGAGCAACCGCTTTAGTATTCGCTATCGCTCCTGTAAGGAAGCTTGTTTGTATATCAACACCCACCAAATGCAACTTTACCTGAATGGATTTAAGACATACTATCCCTTGAGGTTGATGGCTTGAGTTGTGTCACTTGTTCTTTAAATTGTTCATAATAAGAGTCACGAGTTGTTACGTAATTTGAACAATCTTGCCGACTTCATAACGTATACTATAATAATGTATGTTTGGTTTTATAACATGCGTAGAGAGATACCTATAGACGATATAGAAGCAACCTGTCTTTACTTTTGAAAAAATATAAAACAAAATGTAGATAATAAAAACACAGTTGACAACAGCTAACATTGTTGTAACTGCTATAAGAAAATAAAAGTGCTTTAATATTCTAATAAGAAAATCGCTTTAAATAAATATAAAGCATGAAACTTCCTTAGCTAGGAATTCATCTTAAAATATTATTTCAACAATAAACTAATATTTTGCTTTTTTTTAAAATGAATACTGAAGTATTTCTTCGTTTGAATGTCATGTTGATATCTTATTACATTTATATTCCCAAGTTGAGAACTATGATTAAAAATCCCATTTGAAAACACTGAAAA